GGGTTCTGGAACGGTTCCCATTGATTGGAAGATCGCAAACGTCACACCACTATTGAAGGATGGGAGAGAAAAGATGGGGAACTATAGACCAGTTAGTCTGACATCGGTGGTAGGGAAAATTCTAGAATCCTTAATTAAGGTTGTCATAGTGGGATACTTAGAGGATCACGATATGATTAGACAGAATCAACATGGCTTTACAAAAGGAAAGTCATGCTTAACAAATCTTTTAGAGTTTTTTGAGAACATATCAAGTCGATTAGAAAGGGGGGAAATCAGTGGATGTGGATGCAAATCCTTGCATTTGATATAGCGCTTTTTACGTCTTCTCGAATAGACTGAAGAATAGACTGTAAAGTGAATTGACCGTATATTTGTGGGCGAAACGTGGCAGCCAATTGCGCACAGCAGTGTCCCACAAACAGTCGTGGATTGAAAATGACCAATTTATTATTATTTTTTGGGGGGATTATTATAAGGCGTGTGGAGTAAGGAAGCATAAAAGGTTGATCCACAAGATTAGGGCCCATGGAATTAGGGGGAATATATAAGCATGGATTGAAAAATGGCTAACGGGAAGAAAACAAGGATAAACGCGTCCTTCTCAGATTGGTGGGATGTGACTAGTGGAGTGCCACAAGGATCAGTGCTTGGGCCTCAACTATTTACAATCTACATCAACGGCCTAGATGAGGACATCGAGTTTATTATATCCAAATTCGCGGATGACACTAAACTAGGAGGGAGAGTAAACACCGAGGATGACATAAAAAAAATGCAACGAGATATAGATAGGCTAGGTGAGTGGGCAAAAAGGTAGTAGATGAAGTATAATGTAAGGAAGTGTGAAGTCATCCACTTAGGTGGCAAAAACAGTTGAGCAGATTATTTTTTAGAAGGGGAGAAACTAGATAGTGTTGGCGTTCAGAGGGACTTGGGTGTCCTTGTACACCAGTCACAAAAAGTTAGTTTGCAGGTACAGCAAGCAATTAGGAAGACTAACAGTATGTTGGCATTTGTTACAAAAGGGTTAGAATATAAGAGTAGGGAAGTCTTGCTGCAACTGTATAGGGCCCTGGTGAGACCGCACCTGGAGTATTGTGTGCAGTTTTGCTCTCCTTATTTAAGAAAGGATGTATTTGCCTTGGAAGGGGTACAACATAGATTCACTAGGTTGGTACCTGGGATGAGGGGGATGAGTTATGAGGATAGGTTGAGCAATTTAGGCCTATATTCTCTAGAATATAGAAGAATGAGAGGTGATCTTATAGAAACTTATAAGATTATTAAGGGGCACAACAGAATAGATAGTGGGAGACTTTCTCCCCTGGTTGGAGAAACTATAACCAGGGTTCACAGTTTTAAAATTAGGGGTAAGCCCTTTCGCACTCAGCTGAGGAAAAACTTTTTCACTCAGAGGGTAGTGAATTTATGGAATTCTCTACCCCAAAGGGCTGTGAATGCTCAGTCCTTGAACATATTCAAGACTGAGATTGATATATTTCTTGTCGATAAAGGGATTAAGGGATATGGGGATAAGGCGGGTAGGTGGAGTTAGAATAGATCAGCCATGATCGTATTGGTGGGGCAGGCTCGAGGGGCCGAATGGCCTACTCCTGCTCCTAATTCTTATGTAAGACAGACAGCATGCGACCAAGTCTGGCACCGAAGAGCCCTAGCCAAACTGAGGTCCATGGGAGTTGGGTAGAAAATCCTCCCATAGCTGAAGCCACTTGATAAGATGGAGCAGAATGTTCAATGGGAATGTTGAAAAGAGTAACAAAATGCTGGAATACAGTGCTGGCAGTTTCAAAAATGGCCATATGTAAGACAATACATGAAAGGTCAGAAGCCTATGCAATTGAGGGAACCATCACAGCCAAATCCAATTTTGTCATTCAAAAGGTGTCCACATTGACTGGCTACCAGGAGAGAGAACATGTCTGTATTTCACCTTCCTGGGTCAAGGACGCTAAAGCCCAAAATAGTTGAGTTGAGATCAATTAACTTAGCACTAATCAGCAATCATATCTGGTAAAATGTCAATCTGTATGACAGTACACTTATAAAACTTGATTTGTGATTCTGATCTGAGTTCCGCAAAAGCAATGCGTTGTCAATGATTCTCCTCTGATAACCACAATCGTGTGCAAGGTATGGCTTCAGAAATTGGAGGATTTTCCATCCAATTCCCAATGAACTCAGTTTTGCTAGGGTTCCTTGGTGCCAGGCATCTTAATCTCTGGCACTCAGCTCTTGAGTATCAGGGCTGTGATAAGATCTGAACATCGAAAAGAATGTCAAATCAGTGTTTCTCAATGGCATAATTGATCATTTTACTGGTGAATGGGAGCGAGCTCATGCGGCAATAATTGTAATCGACTCATTTCAACAGGATAAGGAGCTATATAAAAAGTATAAAAATTGTATAAATCTTTTTTCTTCAATTTTCTAATCCCCTGAAGGCATTCAAACAGAAGCTGAATGCCAGATATCAAGACAGAATGCAACCAAGTCTGGCACCGAAGAGCCCTAGCCCTAGGATCAGATTTCCTTATTGCTTGGCAGATACTAGTGTTATAACTGCATTGAAACAGCTTGGCAGGGAGTGGGGAGGGAGGGGTTGGGGAGAACAGACAACTAGTTATGCTGCACATGTTTGGATCAATATTGCAAAAATGCAACAAAGCCTTATAGACTTTGTTGTTGTATACAGTGACCCCAGTCTGGTGCCATAAGGCATGGTAATACATAGTATGAACCGATTGCCTAAATGTTATAGTTGGGACTTGGGAGATTCAGGGCTGTGACAGACACTGCAAACTGGCCATAGCAGTCATGGGGCCTGATGCTCCAGCATCCCTGAGCTAAATGGGGAGGGAATAAACTAAAGTACCTGCTTTTGATTGCCATCCACTGTAGTTGAGCCCCTGCTGGTAAGTGTACAATTTTGGCCATCGAGTGAGGGCAGGATTAAGTTTGGCTCTGATGTTCCCCATTGTAAACTGTGAACTGTTGCCACTCAATCACTACATGTGAAGAATGGCTGCTTGAGCAGGTATCGGTGAAGGCTACCAGAGCCTCTGGAATCATACTTTAGCATAAATCACTGCCACCAGGAAAGTAGAAGAGAAAAAGCAAGAATCTCAAAGTATTATACTCAAAACGACATCTCTCATACTTCTTTACTGCTGCCCAATAATGAGTTCCTAGGCAAAAATTCAGAAGAATTCTCCTGGGGGGATATTTCATCTCTAAAGATCACTTTTACAGCTGCCTGCAGAGGAGCAAGAAGCATGATTTAGAGTTTGCAAAACGTGTATGTAGAGAGTAAATAAACAATACACATGAGCAGGCAATTTGTTTAAAAACAAAGAGAGTAATCGATTTGGGATATGCAAAAATTATTAGTTTTTTCTAATGTACATTCTGACATCATAACAGAGAGAATACCAGATACTTTGAGTAATTCAAGGCAGTCATCTCATGGAGAGGTCCAGATGATGTCATAAATCCTGAGAGCAATTGCTCTCGTGTATCTGTTATATATTACTTTTTATAATATATACTGCGGAAATGGACGTGTCAGTGTTACTCTATACAGTTGATGTATGATAACATCCACATCGTAGGATTAATAAGTATGGCACAATCAATTTAAATTTACTGAGTGTTAAGGCACACATGATTCCTGGGAAACAGCACAAAATCTATTATAAGGATTTTCCCCCCTTAAAAATACAGAATTTTGTGTATATACTGAGCATATTATAACAGTAATAATAGTAAAATAAAAGATACATATAGCGGTGTACACCTACAAATGAATCTTTGCACAACAAATTAACACAAGTCAGCCCTACATGCAATAGGCTCACCGTGATAGAAATAGTTAAAACGACTACAAATTAAAACAGTTGGTATAATCAAGACACAGTACATCCACATATTTTATAATTCATTGTCCGATACTTTTCAAATTTCTTTTTTAAAGATCGGCTTTGGAAATAGAATCGAGATCAACCGTTATAAAGTTCTTGCTTGGATTTTGTTTTGCAAATAGAGTTTAATTTGAGGAAGGCTCAATGTGCTGAGTCACATTACTGACCTCTGCTCCCAATCCCCAAGTTCTGACTGTGTGATTGAGTGGAACTGAGAGTGAGCAGTGGAGGTGAGATAAGTGGCATAAGTGTGCAGAATGTGTATCCCTCAAACTGACAGCCACTTAAAAGCTTGAATATCTTCAAAAAGGATGTCATTTATATATATTTCTTAATACGACACGTACTTCAATACTTACCCCAATCGACATGATTTTTTTTTGCTTCAGATTCATGTTTTAGCACTGAGGCATCATATCGCCCAACAACCGTTTTGGAGCAAGATTCACGGTCTAAGTAATGTTGTACCTTTCGTTTATTTATTGCACCTTTTTGTGGGGGGGGTTTAGATCTGCTGATTTGTGTTTGCAAACATTCGCTTTGTTTCGTTAACGTTGTCAAAAAATGTACTTTTTTTTTAAAAGAAGAGCTACTTGTATTGTTTTGTTGTAGCCATTTTGGTAAAAAAAATAAAGTACATTGCCCAATATATTCAGTGTCTGCACATCATTTCATTTGCATTTATCTCACTGTGTGGAATGACCATGTAATGTATGTATTAAAGCAGTATTCAGTATATTTATAGACAGTTAAGTGCAATTCAACAATCATCGCCAACGTTGCACCAACTACTGGACATTTCATTGCAATGGTCATTTTTACAGGATCTTCTAAAATTAATTTTTTTTAAAAATAAAAATGGTACAGACATCGAGCAGTATTTTTTTTTTGGGAAAAAAAAATGCACAAAAAGACTATTTCTATGGCTTTGAGGTGCCCATCCTTCCCAGAGACTCGGTGAGAAAGCGATGAAGGTTCGGGATGAGCTTCTGGGATGCAAATAAAAAAAAAGGGAAAGAGAGAGAGAGAGAAAAAAAAAGACTCCAAACAAACACTCACCAAAACGTCTCCAGGTCCCAGTCGTTGAGAATGTCCAAGTCGAAGATGTCCATAGCGGTGGTGGAGGGACTGTTCGGCTGCAGCTCTCGGGCTCTGTGTCCCGGGGACAGCAGAGAGAGAGCGAGAGAGAGGGGGGGAGTGAGGGCAGAGCCGCTCTCACAGCCCCACAGCTCCCACTCTCTGTCCCTCTCCTCTCCCTCCTGCACCGGCGGCCACGCCAAACAGTCCCGACTCCTCCGGCAATAACCCCGGAGCCGCCCCGCACCGCACCGCGCCGCCCCGCACCGCGCCTGGCAGCCCAGAGCCGCCCCGCACCGCCCCGCACCGCGCCTGGCAGCCCAGAGCAGCCCCGCACCGCACCGCCCCGCACCGCGCCTGGCAGCCCAGAGCAGCCCCGCACCGCACCGCACCGCGCCTGGCAGCCCAGAGCAGCCCCGCACCGCCCCGCACCGCGCCTGGCAGCCCAGAGCAGCCCCGCACCGCACCGCACAGACACCCCGACAAACACTCCCCGCTTGTCCTCGCGGCTCCAGCATCCGCACACACACACACACACTGACAGCTGGTCACTAGTCACTAGTCACAGGGCAGGGGCTCCCTTTACACCATTACAGGCATTTCCAGAGGTAAGGGTTTGGGGGGGGTTTGGGGGTTGGGGAGGGTTTGGGGGTTGGGGAGGGGGGGGGTTTGGGGGTTGGGGAGGGTTTGGGGGGTTTGGGGGTTGGGGAGGGTTTGGGGGTTGGGGAGGGTTTGGGGTTGGGGAGGGGGGGTTTGGGGGGGGGGGGGGGGGGGTTGGGGGTTGGGGAGGGTTTGGGGTTTTGGGGTTGGGGAGGGTTTGGGGTTTTGGGGGTTGGGGAGGGTTGGGGGTTGGGGAGGGGGGTTTGGGGGTTGGGGAGGGGGTTTGGGGTTGGGGAGGGGGGGTTTGGGGGTTGGGGAGGGGGGATTTGGGGGTTGGGGAGGGGTTGGGGTTGGGGAGGGGGGGTTTGGGGGTTGGGGAGGGGGGGTTTGGGGGTTGGGGAGGGGGGTTTGGGGTTGGGGAGGGGGGTTTGGGGGTTGGGGAGGGGGGGTTTGGGGGTTGGGGAGGGGGGTTGGGGGTTGGGGAGGGGGGGTTTGGGGGTTGGGGAGGGGGGGTTGGGGGGGGGGGGGGGGTTGGGGAGGGGGGGTTGGGGAGGGGGGTTGGGAGGGGGGTTTGGGGGTTGGGGAGGGGGGTTTGGGGTTGGGGAGGGGGGGTTGGGGAGGGGGGGGTTGGGGAGGGGGGGTGGGGAGGGGGGGGTTTGGGGAGGGGGGGGTTTGGGGGTTGGGGAGGGGGGGATTTGGGGGGGGGATTGGGGAGTGGGGGGTTGGGGAGTGGGGGTTTGGGGGTTGGGGAGGGGGGGTTTGGGGGTTGGGGAGGGGGGTTTGGGGTTGGGGAGGGGGGTTTGGGGGTTGGGGAGGGGGGTTTGGGGGTTGGGGAGGGGGGGTTGGGGAGGGGGGTTGGGGAGGGGGGGTTGGGGAGGGGGGGTTTGGGGAGGGGGGTTTGGGGGTTGGGGAGGGGGGGATTTGGGGGGGGGATTGGGGAGGGGGGGTTGGGGAGGGGGGGGTTTGGGGGTTGGTGAGGGGGGGGGTTGGGGAGGGGGGCGGGAGAGAACAGGGGGAAGAATTGCAACACTTCCCAAACACTTTTCAGTTTTGTTTTGCTCAAAGATCTTTTAACGATGGAAAATCGGATCATGTACTTTTTTAAAAAAAAATTGGATACGTTATTTAGGCTTATCTTTTTTGGTGGTTTAAACAAATAAGAGTTGGTATTATATAATTAGCAAACCAAAAGTCAGGAATATATATTTAAAAGTATGTGTGCACTTAGACCAGAAAGAATCCAAGTGATTATTTGGGTATTTGATTGATGTGTTGCTGTAACAGTAAAACTCATCGTTCTTCACTATATATCTCTATCAGATCACAATTCTGATCTCAGGAGTCATGATGTACATTATTGCATATTTTTGTTCAGTCCAACACTCATACGAAATATAGAATTAGTCACACCAAATCCCTTCAAAACTGCCAAACTGAACAACTGTCCTTGCCGGACACTCGCAACCACTTAATGAGATTATTTCACCTACTTTTTTTAAAAAAATGTACTCAATCTATTTATTACTTATTTATTCGCAGTCTCAAAAGCCTCTCTTCCCATCTACTTTATTACCCGGCCCACGAAAATCCTGCTCCCCAGCGCAACTGCCTCCAGAAATCTAACAGCAACAAATCAATTGATGCATTGTCAGAAACTCATGCAGTCTTCATGCCTCAAGATAGCATGAGGTGATTCTGCAACTGTTAGTAGATATGTCGGCTTTACAGAGACTGTACTGCCGCACAGAGGCGATCTGTTTGGAGATGGGATAGGAACCCCAAATGTACTGAAGAGGCAGGTTTGGCAATAGGAGTTCCCAAACAGTAAATCATGTACATTGTTGCTATAGATGGTAAGAAAGAAGCTGATGGCATGCTAAGTGCAGAGGCCCATGCTATTTGTGTCAGTGAGTTTGAATTTCCTTGCTGCTCTTGAATGTACTGTAGTCAGTATTGCTAATTGCTGACTGGTATGCTAAATGTGCAATGTAAATAATCATAGTCAATCATTTGCACCAGAGCATTAGGAAATATGCAACATTGAAGCAGTTATCAGCATGTATGAATGAGTGTTGTCTATACTTTGTCCAACTAATTGTCTATGTCTTGCTTATTTTATACACCATACAATTTATTATACGCAAGAGATTATAAGATTGTAGAATTACAATAAGGTCCATCGGCCTCTATGATCTCACACCTCTAGAATATCCATTTGAATGTCTTCCCATCACAGCATCAAGCAGTTTCTTAAATGAGTCTATCATACTAACCTCAAGAAAACCTATTCCAGCTGTTCATTACCTTCCATTTGAAGACATATGTGTTGGTATCTGTCCTAATGTGTTCTTCCCCAATTCTTAACATGTATAATCTTGTCTTGCTATTCTGGCATATTGGGAAAGTGTTATTCTTGGTTTACGTTCTCCTGTTAAATATTTTATATAACCCAAAGGCAGAGATTGCACAAGGTGGACCTCAAGTTCTTATCTTCCTGTTTCCTCTATCGCTACTAAGAGGTTCTTCTGGAAAGGATTGAGGATATAGATTGAAGTAGAATAGGAATACCTTGTTAATATTACCACTTAACAAGTTAAGTTTGTAACTACCTTTGAGGGAAAATCTCAAATACTTCATTAAACAAAACCAATGTAGCTAAAATATTGTAATGTGTGGAGGACATGAGTGCAATATGTAACTTCAGGGCAAATTGTGATTAGAATCTCATTTTGTCTGCCGTGTTTTTCAACAGTAGAAACCAGTGACAATTTCTACACCCCTGTGAAATCTATCATGCTAGCCTAGGATGAGAGAGACATCCTTTTTTTAAAAAAAAGAATAAATACATTTTCAAATTATAAATGGTTGAGCATGTAGATGGTTTGTGATCGAGTACCTTATCTCACTTTATCGTATTTTACAAGGCAATGTTGGTCATATGGAGGAGTCAAATGCTCATTTTGCAAAATGCCATTCAATTGAGTCTATGGGGTATCAGATGTCTGCTATGGGGCCTGGTTTCACATGTATGGAAAGTGTGAAAGTATCCTTTAAGAATGCATCTACTTCTGTAGTGCATGAACTAGCCTCTATGATCAGTGAATCAATTGAGTTTTGCTCTCTGGATGACAGATTGCAGTCATTTATATTGAAGGAATTTTAAAAATTTCATTCAAGTACACAGTTCTAAAATCAATACAGATCACCAATTGTTGAGAGTATATTCTTGCCAAAAATGGCATCAGAGAGCTGCACAAGATCAGGCAACTTCCTTTGAAGTATCAGTGCTGTGCCCTCGGTATTCTTGAAGGACTGTTTGCAAGGGATGCCTTCAAGAAACAATGTGTCTACAGTGACTTCTACATCAGGGCCATCTGGTACTGATGCTCAACCATCGGTTGGGAGTCACCATGGGTGGCGAGCCTTGTTCATTCCCTGCTGCAATGCAGATGGCACAATCATTCATGCCCCACCTTTCAATGGTAAAACCAAAAAAAAATCACATAGTAGGGCAGCAAGTGAGAACATTAGAAATAGCTGAAACTTTCATGGAATATGCATGCAGAAAATCATAATAAACTGTGATAGCCTATATATAACAACAAAAACACCATCATCTTGGCAATCAGGAATTCTAAGATCATTATTGCACAATTAGAATTTAGTGCCAAATTATAAAGAAGATTAAATTGTAGAATAAACCATGCCAAATGAAAAAGATTAAAAAATATAGTAAGTGAGTTTGTTATTTAATCAGAATTTTAAACAAATTTAGGCAACACCTTAGCACAGTTATCTAAAAAAAAATCAGTTCTTGCCAGATCTGTCAGCATCCCTGATTTTGGAACATAGCCAAAACCCAAGAGAAGCCATCCCAAGAGATGCCCTTCCTCTTCAACTTAATCATGATGGTAGTTACCCTATGGCTGAAACCATTATACATGGGTATTCATTCCAGAAATATATGCATCATTTGTTGAGAGCTTGGAAAGACCCACTGCCATAAATGTTTAGGACAAGAGTAACTTTCATAGTATGTAGCTGTATTACAAATTTTCATTTGTATAATAATAATAAATTTACATAATGCCATTCATGTTGGAAGACATCCGAAGGCACTTGATAATCCTGGCTTGCCATCCGAGTTGGGGGTGGGAGCTGAAGGGATTTGTGATGGTGGGGGAAAAGATGACCAAAGTCATGAAAGCATGTCTTGAGACAGATCTTCGAAGAGGTGGGAGAGGGTGTGAGTCAAAGGTTCTCCAGGATGGGGTTCCAGAGAGTGGAAACAGATAGGCTGAAAGCCCCATCGCTGATGGGGCGGGGGACATGAAGCAAGCCAGTGTCCACTGAGCGAAGGTAGCAGCCAGGTTGGTACAGTTTTTATGTACAACTGCACTTCTATAGATCTAATTGTTCAACAGCTCTAGCAGTTACCTTTTGTGAGGCAAAGGTGTCTCAGGCACTGCT